TTTCCTGGTACAGAAGCTTCCTTTCCTTCTAAAACTTCCCTGTTTTAATACTTGCAAGGTTTAATTATAGAGAATGGCTTGAGTTGAAAAGTAATATGAAGATATAATGACATTTCACATTCTCAATACTAAAATACTATTAAGTGTAGAAATATAAATTACTGGAACAATTATAGCAGCAGAAATAACAGTATTACTGCAATCAACTGCTACTGCTGTAGATATTTGAAAACAATATTTAATTTCCCTTTGAGTGTACCAATCTTCTCTGCAGAGAAAAAGCTATTGTAAACAATTAACAATACTAAAACTAGCATGAAAATAATTATTCTGAAACATGTCTTGAGATTTCAGAAACAATATCTCTTCTCAATTTCTGATCAGAAAGGGTTTTTTTCTGTGTGTAATTTGGTTTCTCTTCCTTTCTTTTGATTTTTATGTCTTAAAAAACAGTGATCATAAATAGGTTTAAAACCCCAATGTTTTAAAAAGATGATGCTATTAAACTGTTCAAATTATTTTGCCATTTACCTGCAGCAAGTCTGAGCTATTCCCATCATATTCTTTATCAAAGAAATAGCATAGAATACAAAAAATAAGTAATAATCTAAGCTGGCACAGAACTGAAGAGGATTTTATTCACTGTAGTGAGGCAGCAGGACAAGATGTCTGCCAGGCAGCTATTTAGAGTTTAGCTTTCATTCTGACTGCGCAGCAATGGCTTCCTAGACTGTCAGATAACTCCACTAAACGTTGCAAAGGACAGTTTACAGAGTCATAAAACCAATTTCTTGCTGTGCATGAAGCAGACTGCAGTACTCAAACTTGGATGAATTCATTTAAGGCGGTTCAGTGAACGTATCTGTTACCGTGATTTCTATCCACATCTTCAGATCCTCCAGAATTCATACCAAGTCAAATACTTTTTCCATCTTTGGCCTGTGGATAGCTAAGAGAACTGTAGATGTGTAGGAGGAAGAAGAGGCAGAGACAAAGTGTCATGGTCTGACTATAATCCCCATTTTTCACCCTCCTGTGCCACTTAGAGGTAGGAGACAGAGTTGGGAGTGAAACTGTCTGGGAAACGAAGTAAGGCTTATCCACTGCCCTCCCCTTGCCCACAGAGCCAGGGAATGTAAGCAATACTGGTCAGGCAGAGTTTCCCTTTGGTAAATCCATGCTGGCTGCTCCTAAGGATGTGCTTGTCCTTCATTTGTTTCTATATTAGTATCAGGAACACAGTGGTGCCATTGACCTGACAGGCTCATGGTTACCCATCTTCCTTTTTTAAGATGAATATAACATCACATTTGTCTTTTTCTACTGTCATCAGGGGGTTTCTCTGATTGCTCTAGGCTTTCAGAGGGAACGGAAAGTGGCCTAGTGATAACATCTGCTAGGGTTGCTTGCTAATAAGTGTCTCTCTGAATTTGTGGTACTTTATGTCTGGTTTAGTTAAGTAGTCCATAACTTTATCTTGCTCTAGTGTTTCTCACCACTTGCTCTAGTGTTTCTCACTAGGACTGAGATCTGGGAGGTCTGAGATCTTCTGAATACTGAAGCAACCTGTTGAGTATTATGACATTGCTTTCCCAGATGTCACAGATATTATTTTAAATGAATCACTGCTTCAGGGTAAAGCTCTGATCTCCTGAAGAGACTGTGGCAGAATGAGAGAAATCAGTAGAATTGTTGTACCTTGCCTTACAGAGTGCTAATAGCACTCTGACTCTAAGGAGTACCAAATAATAAGCATACAGAAAACAAGAAGAAATATATTGAAAGAACAATGGACATTTCAGTGCTGATTAGGAAAATGTATAGAAAATCATCAGAGGACACAATATTTTACCCCTTAGGCTTTTAGGTCATCTCAAACTTCAATCAAAATGAAAAGTAGAGGAATCTATCCTAGAAATGAATCATTTAACATGAGCCAATTCCAGTAATACATGACTCCCATGTCAACAGTTTCTGGTACCAACATCTAGAAGTTCCTATTAGTCAGAAACTGAAGAAGTCTGGGGTCTGAAGTCATTGTTCTCTGCAAGTTCCACAATATCGGCAGGTAGGAGAGCCAGAGTGAACAGCAGAGTGAACTAGTCCTGTGAGAGATGGAGCTAAAACAAGACAATGTATTATTAGGTGAATACTACAGATATCACAAGGGTCATTATCAAACTTGACTCCAAGAGTGATCAGAACCCTTGTCAGAAAAAGCAGAGTCTCAGCTGGAGCAGAAATTTCCCTTGAAGCAAACTGCAGGATGAAGGTCAGAAACAGACCTACACTGTTTCAGGGATGAGGAACATTTTACAATAGAAGCCTGACTGCCTGGGTCTAAAGTGATGGAAAAGAAACTTTCTGGAGTGGTTTCCTACTGCTGGGTTTGAAAAGCCCACATAAAGAGTACTTGGACAGGCAGTTCTCCATTCCCTGACAGAAGGGAAAAAAACCTAGCCTTTATAGACTATATTTGTCCTGGACCCTACCGATTTTGACAGGGAAGCCAAGGAAAATTGAACTTCCCTGAAGCTGAAAAACCATAAAAAATAAGAAAAATTAGATACTAAGATCAAAGTAAATACAAGAATCACAAATATACAAAGAAAATAAAGTGAAATAAAGGCTGAGGTAACCTCAAACATAAAGAAAGCTGCAAGAAAGCTCAGTGGAAAACTAGAGAGGCAACAGAGTGCAGAGGATATATTTTTGCCTTTTTGGGGAAGTTATAGGAACATATGCTTTCCAAGTACTAACAGAGGTTAAGTATCACCAGCTTGAGCACTTTTACATGTCCCACATCTGTTACCTAATTTAGATAACAATCATGAACCACAACATCTCACCTATTAATCCTGCACTAAGAATAAAATTGAACTGCAACATTCTCAAAGAAGGAAAGCCCATGCTGATATGACAATCCAACATATGCAGGCAAAATTTTAGCAATTTAAACCATTGTGTTTAATTTCTACTTGAACTTCCCTAATATAAATTTATTTTTCTGGATTTTATCTGGCCTTTAGCTAGTAAAGAGCTATTTTTTCATCTCAAAAGTCATTCTCATATACACATTATATTATTATATCCCTCAAACAAATTGCTTATCTTCTCCAAAATACACTAAATGAATTGAACTTTTCTAAGCCTTTGCTATAAATTCTTTGATGTATCCTCCAAAAATTTCTTAGCTTCTAGAAGAAAGGTCATTTAAACATTGAAAATATAATTTTTATATATTTCATTGGTATGGATACATTTTTGTAATAAATAAAATTCTATATACAACTGAGGATAAATATTCCAGATGAAGGTACAGTTTGGGTATGAACATCTGAATTAAGGGAAAAGTTTTATAACTATGAATACTACTTGATGTGTTCTTTTAATGTCAGTATGAGCTCATTAGAAGTATACTTTTTGTGAAATACTTTACAATCTAAAAAGCACTTATTCACAAGAACTTTTAGGTTGGATTTCCACAGTCTTGTCACATCATTGGTTATTGTGCAATTTATTATAAGGTGAAAGCAATCTAGAAATGCTAGACTACAGTAGTAGTATCAAAAACATAGTGGTGCTTGAAATGACTCTATTTGCCTCACGATAAGATGACCTTCACTTACTGAAGAATAGAACAGAAATAAAAAGGTCAAATAAATTTCACAGGGTAATGCATACCCCAAAGTATGGCTTAAAAAATGAAAACTGGACTACATATGTCCAGTTTTTACAGTGCACTGGAGAAACAAAACCCCTGCAGTCTGACTTTGCTCCAGTTATGGGGTGACACCAATCCAAACATCCCTGTTTGGATAAATGAGACTTGCAGTGCACCATCTCAGTGCTAACAGTTTAATTTATTTCAAATTGGAAATTGGAAATAAATTGGAAATTGGAAAACACAAACACTCAAGGATACTCTTTATTATGCAAGGATGAACAGTTTTACATTCTGGAAGCACATTTGAGAATGACACAAGAGAGTTAAATAGCCCAGGTGGCAGCACGGGTTGGCTTTGGATAAGCGAAAGTCAGAGACCGACTTGGAGCTATGTAACTAGTGAGGTCACTGGCACCTTATGACAAAAATTTAATTAAAAAATTTGTACATAACTCTAACATAGCCCCTTAGATGCTGAGGTGCACTCCATACTAAGACACCTGACAAGATGTAGAAGGCTGAACCAGCTGCACTGGGAGCTGTGTTGTACAGGGGCCATGCTGCTGGAAGCTGGCCGAAGTGTGCCCTGGGTGTGTGGTGCCACTCTCAAATGAATTAGAGGGCCTGGGGCTTTGATCTATGTTAGCATGAGTTAGAAGAGTTTGAGTGTCATAAACTGGAATAGAAATTGCTAACTAAACTCATCCTTTGAAAGTAAAAATACTGGAAATCACTTAAGTGATATGTACCTGTTATTGTGACTACACACCCCAAAATCCTCCACAAGAACAACTGAGTAATGATCTGCTTGTCTCCAACTCTGTGCATGACTCTGTGGGGATTCCTCTTCCCTAACTCTGTGCAAGCCCCACTGCACTGCTTATCCCTGCACACATGGTTACCTGAGCTGCATACAGACCCCCACAAATTCAAGCTTCTCTGCCATCTCTCACTCATTAATGCCGTTTCATGGGTTTGCTTTCTCTTGCCTGGTCCATTTTTACATACACCTGTCTGAGCCAGCACAGGATGCAAACAGAGCCTTCTCTGTTTTGGAAACCATTGCAGTTATACTTTTCACATCCTCATAGAACTAGCACTTGATGTAACAGGCACCTCCTCTAAATTTATCATATGTGTTCCTTCACTCTTGCCTACTCAAACAAACACTCACCAAAGTCCCACACATGGGCAATACTCTACAAGGGACCATATTAGATGTAACTGTCAAAAAGTTGTAATTTTTATTTTTTGCATGGTTTAAATCTCTTCAGTTATATAATATTCAACATAATAATACAAATTTTAAATAAAAAGAAATAATAATAAATACCTGTTTTGCTGCATAAGGATGAGGCAAACCACCAACAAATATGGATCCTGTTTCAAGCCAATGAGAACTGGACCAGAAATTTCTAGTTATACTTGTATTTGAAGATAACTTCAGGATTGACATTTCTGCTTCACATGGTACCATGCCTTGCCTGCACAAATTCAGAAATAGACACATTTTACCACCCTATATTGCTTACATTACTATCTGACAAATTAATTAGGCTATTAATAAACCAACAAGGAAAGAAAATCAAATAAATAGATGTTTTGTATTATAGAACTATAAATGTAAAAGAAGCTGTTTAACAAGCTGTAAGTTGCCTTGTCTTTGTGGTTTGAAATTCTATTAAAATGAAGCCATATTGTAAATCCGGGCAGTTTAATTGCTAAAAAAAGCCAAAGCACAAAAATGACTGAATAAAAAGAGTTAGAAAATTTTGAATGATAACAAGAAGACATCTTAATTTGCAAAAAATACATCAATTTAACTGAAATATTTTAAATATCCCTCTTTCTCATCACACACACACAAATCACAAAAGCAATTTAAAACAAGCTGCATTTTAGAAAGTGCAGAGGTACTATAATAATCTGTATTACTTATCTTCAAAAGCATCATTCCTAAAGCTGAAGTCAGTAATATTAGGCCCTGAAATTAATATATACATTCCTATTTCCCTCCCTCACTCACATACCCTCTTAAAAATGTTGCCATTAACAGCACCCATAAATTGGCAAAAACAAACAGAAGGTACCAACCAAACAACTTGGTTTCTTTCAATTCTTTTAAATGATGTAAAGGTCATTTGCATTCCAATAACCAGCTGGCAACAATCATTCTATCTTCATGTAAGAAAGCACAATAAGGAAATATCAGAACTAAACCAGTCTCTCATGGGGGAATTTCTTTTAGCCTATCCTTCTCTCTGTACCTGAAACAAATCAGAGTTCTATCAGCTCTGTATTTAAAGCTATCCAAGTGTCCTTGTAATATGGGTGCCACAAAAAATCTATGTGAAAATAGCAAATACAAAAACCCCCTAAAAAAACCAAACCAAAAAAACCACCAAAATCACAAACCAAAAACTCACAGCTCTACAAAAGCAATTTGGGTAGGATGCAGTAGGTATTGTATGAATTCAGTTTATTTCTGACAATACAAAACAAAATTTGAAATTTCTTACAAAAAAGAGCATTAAAAACTTTCTTCATTATATTCTGTCATATGGTAATATATGGATTCTCACATAATTTCATAAAGTCTTCTATGTGTTTTTAACAGACATAGTGGGCAGCTAGCATTAGTAACATTTGCAAACAGTTCTTTATGTTTTCCATGTAATTCTCTTCTGAGATACTTTCAGAACAATGTGCAAACATGGTGATACATATTTACAGAAAGGCCTATAAATATTTGTGTATCTAACATGGCCTGTCCATCCTATGGCAAACAACTTCAGGTGAAGAATAAAAAATTTTGGTTTGTTGCTAAAACAACGAATGAAAAAGATAAATAAATTGGGGTTTTGATTCTGTGGACTGAAAACTAGTGTCTTAATGGATTGATTCAGGGGATTTTTTTGTTCTCCCCTCAAATTTTTCTGACCTTGATAATAGCTAACATGAATGCAAAAAAGGAGCCAAATGTGTCCAGAATCAAGGAAAGAAATGTTTTTCCTACCATGTTTTTTGGATATTATACGATAGCTGTATGTCTAAGAACACACACAAGGTTCTGTAACACACCATTTTCATTAATGCCTTACAAAGGGAGTTTGCTGATAATGTGTGTAACTGGCACAATCATTCTCTGTAGCTCTATTTGCAATGGTCAAGAAATTTTTACTGCTGTTGGAACCCAGTATGACATCCTGGACATATCATTCTACAGAAAAGAGTGGCAATGAGACTTCAAACAAAAAAAAAATGATTTTGCAAATATCTGAAATTACTTCTCTTTCTCATAAAATGATATTGTAATCATGAATAAAAACATAATAAAAATATAGCAGTATTTCAGAAATATTTAAAGTCAGACTTGTTTTAACGCAGTGCAATTCTTAAGATGGAGTGGAAGAGGGTCAGGGAGGAACTGCCAGGCTTTTCTTTTTAACTATTTGACAGATGTGCTAAGTGAAGTACAGCTGCTCAAACTTCTGTTTTTCTCTTAATTACTATTTCTTCTACATGTTTTCAGATGTTAACACTGTAACTAGTTACATGACCATGTATGTACTTCTATCACACAAACACCATATTGATGTTGTTCTTTCCACGTTAGCTTTAAACATATTTTTTAGCTTGTCCTTAATAGCTTATAAGATAGATATGTGAAAGTATTTTTGTGTGCATATATTAAAAGAATATTTTGAAAATAATTCCCAGCATTTGGTTTCAGAAAACAAGTTAATGCAATTCAAAGCATGAGCTGCCTTTGCCCTAAGCTTGTTAGAATGTCAGCCATGCACCTCTGATTGTGTTTGATTGAATCTAGCAGGGTCTGGCCAAATTAGAATAATGACTTTAAACCATTGTTTAGCATTTGCTGATGATACAATCACTGGGTCACATATGCACTCTATGAAATTTCCATCAGGCTTTTAAAATACTTTTTCAACAATCAGCACATTGGGTGCTTTAAAGGTCAAGTAAGACGACAGGGTTTTCTGCATAATTATAAATGTAGAAATGCATACAGCAACTCTCAAGCACTTTTGCTGGGTAAGCTACCAGTAATTGTGCCTCAGTCCAAGCCAGCAGTAATAGTTCACAGTTTCCTCATTTGTAATCACACAAATCTAGTGATTAAATACTGGCCTATTAATTATAACCTGAAGATGAATTCTGTCTAAACAGTACGAAACCCATTGCTCAATGCCTAGCAGGTTGGAACGACGGAAAGGTCAGACAATAATTTGATAACTATTGATATAACAGTCCCTAAACATGGCAACGTCTGTATGAAATCCAAGTCCTTTTACATAATGTCTTTACCTTCTGACATTTTTCAGTGATGATTAAAAGACATTTTTAGGATTATCATAAAATGGTAAAAAAGTAACAAAACAAAGGGTAGAAGCAGAGGAGGGAAAGAGGGATGTTCAGAAAAAGTACTTTGTCAGTCATGCCATGCAGCCTTGCTGGGAATAAAAATTCTTTTAGATTTTTTTCTGATAGAAAAGGAAAATCTTTTGTTCTAGAAACAAGATTGAAACTTTCACCTGTCTCTAGAAATTTAACTTGAATGTGGTCATGCTAAACAACAATAAATAATTCACTAATACCATTGAATTGTTTAGGTTGTAATATTAGTATTCTGTCTATTATACAAAAGCAACAATATATTTATAGCATCTATACCAAACATGAGTTGTGAACCACCAAAAGTAAAGAAGTTTTATTATAATATATCATTAAACAATTCCTAATTCCCCAACTGTATTGAAGACAATTTTTTAAAATGAAGCTGAGAACATATTTCACTTATATTTAGTTATTATTTATAGGTTTATTAGCTTAAAAAAAGACAACTTGTTTTTCACTCAGTAGTGGAGGCTTACATTTTCTGGTTTCATACACAAACTGTTCCTTGCAGTAGAATATTTATTTTTGTAAAATTTTGACAAAACAATAAACCTACTGTCACTACAATCAAGAGAAACTTTTTCTTAAGGCACATTTAAAAGGTTGCATCAATTTTTACCTAGCACTGGTTTTGAAATCTTTACAGCTTTTCAAAGGTGTTTGAGGCAACTTTAGGAATCGATCATCTGGACCCCTCTACTCAGAAAGTTTTGCAGGTTTCAGTGTTGGAGGTTTACAAAATCTGACTCAATAAAGCACTGAGCAACCTGTTCTGACCTTGCCTGGCCCTGCTTTGAGCTGGAGGTTGGGCTAAAGACTTCCTGAAGCCCTTTTTAGCCCAAAATACCCTACAATTCTATAAACCTGACACCTTCCTTCAGCAGAGAAAACCCCAGAAATTCCATACTAATAACAGTTACAGAATAGGGCAGAATCTCTTATTACCTGCAGTAGATTTATCTAGATAGAATATATACCAGTTCACTCACAGTCATTATATTTTCACTCTGCAGTAAAATGCATAATTTTACAATGCTGTAATCTGTTGTGCTGACTTTGCCCTGCTGAGACACCAGGTAACACACATTTCCAAGTTGTAGATAAACCCATTAGTCAACATCTATTTATTCTCATTTCCCTGATATTCATATTTCCTGAGCCTGAAGCTGATTACTTGGTCTGGTCTTACATTTAACTGTGATTTAACTAAACAAATAAGAACAATGAAACTAATGATGCAAATTTCTCTAATAATACAACAAAGAAAGGAAATGAACTTTGTTTCATTTTCTAATAAATAAATAAATATAGTATCCCCTTTTCACAGAAATTACACTTACACTACTATGCTAAAGTCCACAACTTGAGCTCAAATCCGGACATGGAATCATCCATATTTTTACAAAGTCATCACTGTTCCTGTTACAGTTACTATGAAAGCTACACATTATCTTCAATTCAGAAACTTACAAAATTCACTGGTTAGTTCAATTCAGGAATCATTTCAAATTCACCTTACCAAATTATTCTACCATAAAATTTTTTATAGACATGACCTCAGACTTGCCAGTTGGTCTCAGTTCAGAGACCAGCCTACAGATTTTAGTTTAATTTACTACTTTAGCTATAGCTAAAGAAAAAAACAACTATCTATGCCTCTGGCCCTTTCTGTCTTTGCAGTTTCCTGCTTCTGGTTTCTTGCTGCTCACACCATGCCAACCACAGATACTACTTACAGAAATTAAACTTAGAAAACTGTATGCACTTATTTAAAATTGAGGTAGATGTGTCATTTATGGAAAATCTTGGCTCAAATGAGAGTACTGTATTTTAGTATGCAGAGAGCAGGAAGTTTAGAGTTGGATTTAGACTTGGAATACTGTAATTTTAAGTGAATATTACAGACTGTTTATAATAAAAAATAGTTACATTGTGGGAATTCATATTTACATCAGCTCTGCTGGCCAATGTTATTTCTGATCTCTATACCCTATCTGTGCTCTCCTTCATACAAGTTCTATGTCTATGACATGTGGCCAAAGCAGCCACAGAACACTGAACCCAC